AAGACCCTCTATGAGATGGATTGATTCGGTGACTTGGGTAATCGGGATGGGTGTGTCAGAGGCAGTGCAGTTGGCGCAGGATAGAGCAGGGTTTAGGGCTATTGTGCATAGGGTCGCTATGAGTCGCAAGTGACTTGACGGCACATAACAACAACAACAACTTGAGATAACACTTATCCCTTATATGGCTGGGGTGGATATTGTTAATGCTGTGACCTACCATGTTCCTCACTGATGTCTTACAGTAAGCAACTGTTGTGTGACGTGATGATTGTAGCAGAAGATGTCGAGATTGAAGCCCACCGTGTGGTCCTGGCAGCCTGCAGCCCCTACTTCTGTGCGATGTTCACAGGTATGGCGATGGCAAACAATAGCTCACAGTTAAGGGCTTATTGCCTGACTGCAGAACATCGTGGGTGGTGGCACAAGGGGAAGGAGGGTGGAGAAGTCTGTGGTATTCACCCTGTAGGGCTTCTATGTGCCAGATACTTGGCTTCACACTGTGGAGGGGATGGGACCATTGCAGAGGTCAGTGGCCTCCTCTGCCTTTAGACAAGTGTGGGAAAGATTTGAGAGAAGCAGTAATTTGGCTCAGAATGAGGCATAGGAAAAATTACCATTTAGCATCCAGTTTTAGTACTTTTGCTAGCTTCCTATGGAGCCCTTATTTCCTGGACACACCACATACCCTTGTGCAACTATTCCACACTGTTGTATTAAACTTGTGATTAAATCACCTGACCAGACACATGCAGTGTTCCATAAATTACTGCAAGATGAAGGAAAGCATTTTGATTGGGCTCAGTGATAACCCTGACTGGGCTTGGCAACCCTATCACACGCTCTACAGAAACCCCGGTGCTTCCTTTGAGTGCTACAACTATCGTTTTGCACTCTTATCTATGTTTGCTGGGGCATCTGCATTGGCCAGGTCCTGGTTTCTCAAGTAATTGGCTGCTTCTCATTTTGTAGTTTCTTGCTCAAACATCTCCTCATCTGACAACTGTAGCTACTTTTAACATTCTGTCTTTTTCTATCTCATTACTTCATTATTTGATGCAATGTGATTAACTGCCTCTGAAAAACTGATGGAGGGTCAGCTATGGCTCAGTTCTGACTCAACGACACACAACAACAATGTACACATATCGACTTACATTATATCTATACCTATCAATATTTATGTAATCTATATCTTGCTCACTTACTATGTGTTGGAGCCAACTCACACCTGCCTTTCCAGTGGGTTTCCCAAGGTTGTGAACTGTGTGGGAACAGATTTTCATCTTTCTCTTGAGGAATAGCTGGTTGATTTGAACTACCAGAGGGGCTCCACCTATGGGTTCGGGGCACAACTCACTAATCACCAGAACACAAGAGCTGCTATATGTTGGTGTTGTTTATCGAGTTGGACTGACCCATAGTTTACCCTCCAGCAAGTTTTCAAGGCCATCTTTTTTCTGTGGAGCATTTAATGAACTCAAACCACAAACCTGGGATGACAGCATAATTTCTTGCCACTAGGCCACCAGCACTCCCTACACACACACACACACACACACACACACACACACACACACACACACTCACACACACATTTATATGTTTGTATTTATCACTTTCTCAAATAATCTTGATTGGCTTCCTGTATATTACCATTTCTGCCTTCACTATAATATGAGTTCTGTGAGGACAGGGGCCTTGTACTTGGTGCTACTATATCCTGTACACCTCGCACGTAATAGGCACTCAAGTTTTTTTCTTTTTTAAAAATTGGGATTTTAATGAAAGTTTATAGAGAATTTGGATTTCCATTCATTCATTGTTGCACATTTTCCTCTCTGCCCACTCCTCCCCACAGTTTCTTTGAAAAGAAAAAAAAATTCTTTGTTATACAATCTCCCTTCCTGGTCAACTTTAGTATGAAGCTCTTATTCTGGACTCTTGTCATGAAAATAATACCTAATGGTATATTCCTTTTAAACAGTTATCTCTCTCATCTGTTTCAATGCATTATACATTATCTATCCCCTCTTTTCTTAGTTTTCCCCCAACCCCAATGTCAGTCCTGTTAAACAAAAGTGGCATTATACAGTATTTGTACTTTTGGGACTGAGATATTTCACTCAGCATAATGTCCTCCAAGGTCCCCCATTTTGTATAATATTTCATCAGTTCCTTGTTTTACAGTGCTGTATAGTAGTCCATTGTGTGAATATTCTACAGCTTCTCTATCCATTTGTTTGTTGATGGGTACTTGGGTTGTTTCCAGCTCTTTGCTATTGTGAACAAAGCCACAATAAACATGGGTGTGCATATATCTGCTTGGGTGGCAGTTCTGGTTTCTTTAGGGTTATTCTCAGTAGTGGAATTGCTGGGTCAAATGATATTTCTATTTCCAACTTCTTGAGAAAGCACCATACTACCTTCCATAGTGGTTGCACCATTTTGCACTCCCACCAACAATGAATAAGGGTTCTAGTTTCTCCACAACCTTGTCAGCATGTGTCATTTGCTGCTCTGTTGAATTTTGTTATTGTTACTGGGGTGAGAGGATATTTCACAGTTGTTTTGATTTGCATCTCTCTTAGAGCTAGAGATTTTGGACATTTCTTCATGTGTTTGTTTGCCATCTGAATGTCTTCCTTGGTGAAGTTTCTGTTCACATCCTGTGCCCATTTTGCAATTGGTTTGCTCATCTTGATCTTTTTTGTGGTGCTTGAGTATTCTATAAATTCTAGATATAAGTCTCTCATCAGACATGTCATTACCAGATATTTTTTCCCAATCTATGGCTTTCTTTTTTACCCTGTTGGAAAAGTTTTTGGATATGCATAGGGATTTGATTTTTAGAAGGTCCCAGTCATCTATTTTATCGTCTCCTGGTTGTAGGTTTTTCAGGATGCTTGGAAGACTGTTCATGTTGTGGATTAGGGCTTCTAGAGTTCTTCCAAGCTTTTGTCTGATGAAGTTTATAGTCCTTGGTTTTCCTCCTAGGTCCTTGATCCACTTTTAGTTTATTTTTTGCATATAGTGTGAGGTGGGGTTCTTGCTTGAGTCTTCTGCAGATAGTTTTACAATTTTGCCAACACTATTTGTTAAAAAGGCTGTTGTTTCCCCACTTAACTGATTTCATCTCCTTGTCAAAAAGAAGTTAACCATAGGTAGATGGCCTGATTTCTGTGTTCTCAGTTATATTCCATTGATCTAAGTGTCTGTCTTTGTATGAGTACTACACTGTGTTGACCACCATGGCAGTACAGTAGGATTTGAAATCAGGGAATGAGATGCCTCCTACTTTGTTTCTCTTTTTAAGGAGTGCTTTGCTTATTCGGGGCCTCTTTCCATTCCAAATGAAATTGGAGTTTGCTTTTTCCATCTCGCTGAAGAATGAAATTGGAATTTGTGTTGGGAGTGCATTGAACATATAAATTGCCTTTGGTAGTATTGCCATTTTTACAATATTGAGTCTTCCTATCCAAGAGCAAGGTATATTCTTCCATTTCTCCAGGTCTCTTTTTGTTTCTTGTAGTAATATTTTGTAATTTTCTTTGAATAGATATTTTGTGCTTCTGGTTAGATTTATTCCCAAGTATTCATACTTGTGATTACCTATTGTAATGTGTATTGCTTTTTTTAGCTCCAGTTATGCATTCTCTTTGTCACTGTAGAGAAATCCAGTTGATTTTTGTATGTTGATCTTGTATTCTGACACTTTGCTGAATTGGCCAACTATGTCCAGTAGCTTTCTTGTTGAGACTTTAGGGTTTTCTAAGTATACTATCGTATCATCTGCATGTAGAAATAATTTTACCTCTTCTTTACCAGTTTGGATGTCTCTTACTTCCTTCTCTTGTCTTATTACTATTGTTAAGACTTCCAATACAATATTGAATAAGAGAGGTAATAGTGGGCCTCCTTGCCTAGTTCCTGTTCTCAAAGGAATGCCTTTAATCTATCTCCATTAAGAACAATGTTGGCTCTCAGGTTTGTAAATATGAAATTCCCCTCTATTCCTATTTTATTGTATGTTTTAATCAGGAAATGATGTTGAATTTTGTCCAAGGCCTTTTCTGCATCAATTGATAGGATCATGTGGTTCTTGTTCTTTGCTTTGTTAATGTGATGAATTACACTGATTGTTTTTCTTATGTTGAACCATCCTTGCATACCTGTTATGAATCCCACTTGGTCATGGTGAATTTTTTTTTTATGTATCATTGGATTCTATTGGCCAGGGTTTTACTCAGGATTTTTGCATCTATGTTCATGAGAGATATTGGCCTATAGATTTCTATTTTGGTAATGTTATCTGGCTTTGGTACCAAGGATATGCTTGTTTCATAGAATGAGTCTGGGAAAATTCAATCTTTTTGTTTTCTGAATAGTTTGTGTAGAATTGATGACAGTTCTTCTCTGAATGTTTTGATGAAATTCACTTGTAAAACCATCTGGTCTAGGGCTTATTTTTTGGCTGGAAGTTGTTTTATTATCTTTTCAATTTCTTCTTTTGTAATGGGTCTGTTCAGATGTTCAATTTTAGTTTGTGTCAGTATAGTTAAGTTGTGAATTTCTAAGTATTTGCCCATGTCCTCTACGTTTTCATATTTGTTTGAGTATGGCATTTCATAATATTCCATCGTTAGCCTTTTTATTTTCATTGTTTCTGTCGTGACATTTCCCATTTCATCTTTTTTTTTCACATTATTTGTGTCTTTCCCTTCTTCTCCTTTGTTAGTTTTGCTAGTGGTTTGTCAATTTTATTGACTTTTTCAAAGAATCAACTCCTAGTTTTTTTGATGGTTTGAATTGTTTTTTCTGTTTTCTGTTTAATTTATTTCTGCTCTCATTTCAATAATTTCAGCTTTATTAGAAGATGTTGGGTTTTCTTGCTATTCTTTTTCAATTTGTTGAAGATGTTGGATTAGAGAGCCAATGGTCATTTTATGCTGCCTTTTGATGTTTTTGCTTATTGCTGTAAATTGACCTGTGATTACTGCTTTGCCTGTTTCCCAGAAGTTTTGGTGAGTTGTGTTTTCATTGTCATTTGTTTCAAGAAACTTTTTAATTTTCTTTTTTATTTCTTCTAGTACCCACTCATGTTCAAACAAGGTGTTGTTCACCTTTCAAATGTGTAATTTTTTCCCCTTTATCCTCTTGCTATTAATTTCCAATTTTGTAGCATTGTGGTCCAAGAAGATGTTTTGTATTATTTCTGTGTTTTTGAATTTATTGGTGCTTGCTTTGTGGCCTAAAATGTGATCTGTTCTTCAGAACATTCCATGTACATTGGAGAAGAATGTATACTGTGCTTTTGGGGGGGTACATTTGCCTATAAATATCTATGAGATC